CCATATGCACTTGTATTTGGACAAGAACCTGTGCAACATTTTTCATTACTTGAAAATTTACAAGGAGAGATTATTGATGAAGAAACATTACCTGATAATTTTATTGAAACTTCTGATAATTCCGACAATGAAGTTTTAGATAATTCTGATAATGATTTTGAATCATCAATATTGAATCAGCCTGAATTGCCGATATTAATTCAACCTGAACCTTCAATGTCAAGTCAATCTGAATCTTCGAGGTCAAGTTAATTGGAATCTTCAATCTCAAATTAACCTAAATCTTTGACATCAAGTCAATCTGAATCTTCGGCATCAAGTCAATCTGAATCTTCAACATCAAATCAATCTTTAATTTTAAATCAACTCGAATCACATCAGGAAAATAATATATAAATATATATTTTATATATATTAGTATCTTATCTCTTTGTCAATAATTTTTATATACTAGAAATTTATTTGCTTTATAGGTAAAGAAATAATTATTTTATTTAATATAAATTATGTATATGCATATATACTAATAAATCAATTATGTTATATAATAGCCACAACTACTATTATGAAATATTCAGAATATACAATCAAACCATCAATTATCCTATGAATATGCTAATAAATCTCTTAGTAAATATTGAAACCAAATGAAAGACCAAATGTTAAAAAAAATAAACATCTATGTGAATACTCTATTAATGATTATGTATGCCTTATAGTTCCTAAAATAGATTGTAATAGTATTGATCAGCATACTTTGTCTTGCAAAATAATCAAAGAATTACCTAATCAAACATACTGATTACAATGCAAAAATGGTATTCTCGATTCTACCTATTGTGCAAATAAAATTATGCCACTTGAATTAGCCATATATGAAGAACTTGAAGTTTGTCAAGAAAAAACTATTAGTATATATGAAGCTGCAAGAATGCAATCTATATCTACTGTGACTGGGACAAAATGCAATTGTAAAGGTAAATATAAAACTAACTCATATAAATGTAAATGTTCTAATTTAGTGTGCGGAAGTGGATGTCATCTGCATAATATTAAATGCATTAATAGAGAATAAGTTTTAGAAATATGCATTAAGTATACGTAGATAATATATATTTATGTGATAAATAATAATAAGCTTATTTTATCAATAAAATTATATAATAAAATTTGCTTCGCTTGTTTGCTTTAAATATTCAATCTTTACTTAAGTCATTTTGAGATTCCATGTCCACTTAAGTAGATTCAGAATCAACTTAAGTTGATTCTAAATCTACAAATATTCTATAACCACCTACAACATATATATGCGCTAATTTTTAATCCTAAATCTGTGCTAATTAATACATATCTTCTTACATTAGTAATATTAATGATAATTCAAGAATTTATTTCTAACCTTAATAACCGAAATGAAAAAAATATTATTAATACTTACTTAGTATGTTTTACACATATTTATAATTACTTAAAAACTATTGCTACTATAGTATTTAAAATTATACAGTCATAGAGTATGGCAACTTAGTGAAGTTGGTAAGTTGTTGCACTCCTAAGCGGCAGGACAAAAGTTTAAATCCCACTGGCAACAAAATTTGAATTTTACAGAATGTATTACAACAGACTGTGTATAATCTGATAGATCATCAGATCCGTAGCTTTGATTATATCAGCTTGTACTGAAAGAACGTGGAACTATAGTGTGATGCAAGAGTTACACAAAACTCAAGTGAAGTATTTGTGTAAATCCAAGAGCTGGTGCATACAGAATCCCTCTTGGCAAGTCTTGAGTAGAGAGATAGCACAGATCTTTAACGGTGCTACATAAAGGATTATTACTGAAGATCTGAAAACTGGACAGAACCAAGGTGTTTGGCAAGACACCATACCAACTAGGCCATCAGTATATTCTGAAGAAGGGTTCGCCCTTCCAGGCTATCTGGATTAGAAGTTTGGAGACTGGTGAAATAATAAACAGTCCATAAAGTAGGTGCTGAGGTTTAGGTGAACTCTACAATAGTAGGAGTAGGTAATGGTAGTGTTTTTGGCTCGCAAGTATTCATTCTTGAACTTGGTATAAGTTACTAAAAGTCTAGATTAGCCGGATTGTAGGTATGAAAAGCTTTAGCAACAATGCCTCGAGAATAAATTAGTTCTAAGGCTACGGTATGCATCCGGAACTCTTGACTAACAAATGTAATAGAGTGTTCCAGTGACACAAGAGGCAGTGTACATTACAGAGGGTTTAAATAGATAATTCCCTAGTTGGATTATAAATATGGCAGCTAGTATAGAACCTATAGTATACAGTTATCTATATATGAACTACTTAAATAGGTGCTCAAAAGACACACATGTAGCTAGTTGTACTCTCTAATAAAATTGAAGTTTCATTATAAGCTCCTCATCTATTATATTTAAATAAAAACCTCTATGCCAAAGAGGCTAGTTAATAAAAAAAAAAATTACACAGTCATTATAAATTGTATCAATTGCAATAAATTATATCCGATCACTATCCTGCTATTTAAATATACATACACTTATAATTATAAACTATATCCTAATATAAATTCATTATACCCTATCATTCCTGATATTTATATATACATGTATTATACCCTGTTCTACCACATATGTTATATACATATCTTCTTTTATTTTTATTATATAATGCTTCTGAATTATTATCTATGATACAATTATTATTCAAACTTATAGTCAACAAAGGTGTATGTAAGTTAGAATCTTGAGGATTAATTAAATAAACGTGGCCTAATCCTTTATAACTTTGACTTTCAAATGAGCTTTTTAATCTTTTGGTTGGTGGACGTCTACGATGTTTTGTAACTAAAGAATCTCTTACAGTAATCTGATCAGATTAAATAGATTGAGTATTTTCGTTATTGTTTCTAATAATAAATTTTTTTTTACTGATAAAATGATTAACAAGATTAATTAACACCTCTTTACATCCAATATCCAAAGCAAAATTAAGAGCCTTTTTCATTTGACCAAACCTATTAGCATATCTAATTTTTTTATTAATTATCTGCTGATTCTGTTCATCATGTATATTAGCATTTCTAATTTGATTAATAATATGAAAGTCTGGTATGATAATGTCTGTAGCTTTTTGTTAAAACGTTGTTGAAACTTCGATGCTTGGCTGCAAATATTCAAATTCTTTATTCTGCTGATTATCTTGGTACCAATGTCTTGCAATCAACCTAATATGAAACTTTGCTATTTTAGTATTTATTATCACTTGAAAATAATGTGCACATATAATACTCTGATTGATCATTGCTATGCAAGTACAGTCTTCCTCCTCTATAATCACCTCCTATATAATCACAACTCCCATATAATCACATTAATTTTTAAGACAATTTATTAAAAAACTTATAAAAAAAGACTTCTATATAATCACACTCTTTTATAATCACCAATTTTCTTGATACAAACTGTGTGATTATAGAGGAGGAAGACTGTATATAGATATCCACTGTCACTTAATAATACAACATAATGCTTATAAACCATTAACAAACATGTAAGTACCTATATTTCAACTATATTATTTGGTTTAATTTCCTTTAACAGAGCCGTGAAAAAAATCTGTGGTTTATTGAGTTGATTCTCCAAAAAGCCATTGTCATAATCCAATTAGATATTTTTCTAAAAAAAAAATAATCAATAATAAAAAATAAATCAAATACAAATACAATATATAAAACAAATAAATCTGAGAAAGAAACAAAACTTCTAAACCTGTTGTAATTCCAGATCCTAAAAGAAAAAATACCAATAAAAAAACAACTCAAATACAAAATACAAAATAATTAAAACTAAAAGAGCAAAAATACTAAACCTATTGTAATTCCCAAATATTTTTCTTTGGATATAATTGCGCTCTATACAAAAGAGACCCAAAAATTTGTCGTTATTACACAGCCAATATATATAACTTTAAAATTTTCAAAACTTTTGGAAATATTGATTCAACAATTAAAGGTGCTTGATTAGTAGGAAGAGAATTTAGATAGTTATTGTATTGTGCCCATTGTGCTTCGTTATCCAGAAGTGTTTATATATTTTTATGAAGATTATATAATGAACAAGTACTCTTTATGCCATCTTTGATTAACTGGTTCGTTACTTCAACATGCTGAGTACTTTGTACTCCTGCTGTAAAACATTTAAGTTAATAACACCGAGCCCAGGATTTTATGCTTCTCTGTAACGTTTTATTAAAGTAATATTGTATTTGAAGATACTTATTTAATAAACATGATCATCTTCTATAGAAGTTTTCTTCAAATATACTATTTTGTACATATAAAAATTTTTTATAAAATTCATCAAAATGCTTGCCAAGTTTATTCCATAGATTTTTATGACACTTTTCTGAATGTGAAAAATATATAAAAAATGATACGTTGTAAATAGTTTTAAAGCTATAGCACTGCTTAATGCCAGTTCTGCATCAGAAAATAAAACTAAAGGTACTATATTATTCATAGCATTCAAAAGGCATTCAAGAAACCATAAGTATGATTCAGTAGTTTCGTCATCAAACAGTACTTGAGCTACTAGCTAACTTTTCGTGTTATTATCAACAACAACTAAAAGAGTAAAATACATATCAAACCAATTCGTTTGATATGTATTATCAGTTTAAACAATATCAATATAATAGACAAACACTGTTGTTGCATTAGAGATATCCAGAACAGCTCAGTTAGCCAACTATCATATGGGCTACCATTACCTACTACCACCTTTGCAGAGTTCACCCAAACTCAGCATCCACTATATGGACTATCTTCTGTACATCTGTTATCCTAAACTTCCAATTCAGATGACTCAGAAGGGCTATAACCTGCCTCTGATTCCCATGGTTGGGTCCTTTTCCTCTGGTTACGCTCTAACAGTCTGGTTGGTGGAGTGCCTTACTAAACACTTCGGTTCTATTCAGTTTTCCAGTTTCCTGGTTGATAATCCTTTACATAGTATCATCAAAGATCTGTGCTATCTCTCTACTCAAATCTTGCCAAGCAGACTTCTGTGTGCACCAATCTCAGATTTACATGACTGCTTCACTTGAGTTTCATACAACTTGTACATTATACTATTGTTCCACAGTCTCCCAGTACAAGCTGGTGTGACCTAGTTACAGATATCAATCTGCCTTTTCACTCACAGTTGCCATAACACTGTACTGAGAATTCAAATTTTTTTCGGCACTGTTGGGATTTGAACTCTGTTCCTACCACTTGGGGTGCAACAACTTCACCACTTTACTAAGTTGCCACACCCATTTTAGTAATTCTTGTATATATTTTATTTTGATTAAATAACTATTGATTTTTTTGAATTAAATTCATTAAAATAATTAAAATAAATATCATTATTTTTTGTTTAAAATTTGGGTCAGCAAAATGAAAAATTAAATTGAACCAAACAAAACACAATACCCATATCTAGTAATAACCCACAGTTAAGAATACCATACACCTACAGCTAGTGATGTACGTTTTGACTGACTAAAGGCTTT